TGAGCTACAAATAGTCTCCTATTGGCACAGCTATTCTATAAGCTATCAGCCTTTCCAAGTAGACCAGGCAGGAAACACAACCCATCAGGTGAGCTCATTCTACTCTATTGTAAGGCTACCTTAACAGAATCTTGCAAATCTGAAAGTACAAATCTCCTGTTTTTTCTTTACAGCTGGAGAAACTAGGGAAAGAGGGGGTCCTTCTGAGTCTCTTTCTCCACCCATGAGGCAGCTGCAAACTAGTTCCTCTTTTCTGACCGTTCCCTAGGCAATATTTCTTCCCTCAAGGTCTTTCTCATATGCCATTAGATAAATAAACCACACCTGTATTTTAACATGTCTCAGTCCCATGTCACAACTTTCCATACCATACGCGATGGTCATCCTCCGTCTCTGTCGCACAGGGCCACATACAGCATTCCTTGCATTGGTCAGTTTTGATCTCAAGTGAAACCCAAGGCTGGTCTTGCCCCATGTCTGCCTGTCTCTCTCTCTCTCTCTCCCTCTCTTTTCAAGTTAAATCACTGATATAAAGTCATCTTAAATTCATGATGCTCAACCCTAAACTTCTAGGACAGTTTAGTCATCACTGGAAAAGAGTAGATGAAGGAAGGAAAGAAAGTAAATAAATTAGTTACTATGGAAACTATGGATCAGAGATTTGGTAAGTTCACCTTAGTACAGGTGAAACTGTTTCCATACAAATACAGTTCTAGCAGTTCCTAGCACTTTCACTGAGTTTAAGGGGGGCGGGGGTAGTACATTAAACTTCAGCCCCTTAAGGCTGAAGTACTGCATACATACTGCATGCAAGGAAGTACTGCATACTTTTACCTTGATTCTTCAGTTTTCAGTTTGTGGCAATTGTTTAATATCTGCTAGCATTTTGAAGTGAGATAAATGTAACATTCATTTTTTCATCCTTGAAAATGAGCTGATATGGCTTACCTTAAAACGTTCTGAGATGCCTTGAGTGATACTGACTGTGAATTCTGCAATTCTGGGAGAACGAAATTTCCCTTTCTTCCGATCAGGTTCATATTCCGTCTTCGTCTTCACCACCACCTTTTCAAAGAACACCAACAAAGGAGCCATTAGTAGCACAGTCACCCCACCACGACTGCCATGCCCGCATCCACCTGTTCTTTGGCTTGTGGTCATGAACCACAGGATAAAGAAGTTCGAAGTGACCGTCGTCTTCTATGCCGTGGCCAAGAAAACAGGTGTGTCTCCAGACCACACACAAAGGATTCCCCCCTCCCCCCTTTAATTTATTTTGTCCTTTCAATCATACAAAACGGACACAGCTGATTTAAATAATTCCCTGTGATTTTCTCCCTGGGGATGCAAGGTGCAGAGTCTGCCAGGAAATGCTTTTCCATGGGGTTTGCTGAAAGACGACTAGAAAGGGCATTTTAAGGACATTGGGTTCAACCACCTTATATTCTAATCACCTTTGGATTTATAATTACTTTATAAATTAATATGTGGTCTTGAAACAAATGCTTGTAAAGTGAGGTCTTCCTAATTAAAAAGGAGGTAGCAATTTCCTGTATCTCACTGGGCAAACTGGCACCACATAAACTGGTCCTTGGCTGATCCTGACCCAGGGCCCTCAGATGAGATTAACAGCAGCTTTAACTGAAGAAATGACTCTAGCTATGACCAGGTTAAACCAGGAGTGTGCAAGCTTCTTCAACCAGCGGTCATACTTAGCCTCTTAGTGACAAGTTGCAGTCTTCAATCTTAATAGAGCTCAAAGGGACCTTGGAGGTCTTCTAGTTCAGCCCTCCCTGCTCAAGCAGGAGACGTGATACCATTCCAGACCAGTGGCTGTCCGGTCTCTTCTTAAAAGCTTTCAATGATGGAGCACCCTCAACTTCTGGAGGCAAGTTGTTCCGCTTACTAATTGTCCCTCCTATTAGGAAGTTTCTCCTGAATTCCAGGTTGCTTCTCTCCTTGATAGGTTTCCATCTTGCCTTGCCTTCTGATGCTTTGGAAAATAAATTTACCCCTTCTTCTTTGTGGCAGCTCCTCAAATACTGGAAGACTGCTATCATGTCCCCCATAGTCCTTCGTTTCTCTAGACTGACCATCCCCAGTTCCTGCAACCATTCTTCATAGGTTTTAGTCTGCAATCCTTTAACCATCCTTGTTGCTCTTCTCTGCCTTTTTCCAAATTCTCAACATCTTTTTTTGTAATGTGGTGACTAAAACTGGATGCGGTATTCCAGGTGTGGTTTTACTAAGTCTTTATAAAGCGGTACTAATATGTCACGTGATTTTGATTCTTTGCTTACAATCAAGGATTATATTAGCTTTTTTTGGCGGCGGCTGCACACTGCTGGCTCACATTTAAGTGATCCAGCCCTCCACAGTTGCTGTTTTTGAGCCAGACTTCGTCTAATTTGTACTTCTACCTTTGTTCCAAGGAATTGGATAATTAACGGGAAGAGTTTAAAACAAATCATAAACTCTTAGCAACTTGAAAACAATGCTAGAACCCAACAAAAATTTGATGGGCACGTGATGCCTCATTTTGCTTGAATAGCTTTCCCAGTAGATTGTAGGAATACACATCATAGATCTTAATCTCAGCAGATTATTTGCCAAAGTGCTCCAGGACATTCTGATCAGCCAGCTAAATGCTGTAGAGTGGCCTTCGCAGCAGGCCTGGCAGAGTTCTCATCCGTTGTGCCTTCCAGACCAGATGAAGAAGGAGTTTCAGTCCTGGACCTCCTGCTCCTCAATATTTTTATGAATGACTTGAAGCGAGAGGCTCCCCAAATCTGCAGGCAACCTTCTCCATGAGTTCAGCTGTAGAACTAGAACCTTCCCAAGCGAAAAGAGCCCCCAGGTCCAGGTCTCTCTCTTTTTTTTTTTTTACTCCGTCCTCTTTTAAGAAAGAGCTGGGCTCTGGGTTCTGTAGTCGTTCCTGATCCGAAAGGGAAGACAGCGCTGATTTAAACTCATGAAGGCTTATCTGAGGCCATATCCAGATTACTCCTATCGGGCTGTTTATTTCGTGACGAAGGAATGGACGGAGGGGGCTTTTGCCTGCCCCCTTCCGCGACAGAAGCATCCTCCGAGTCCGATGCTAGCCAGGGACAGGCGGAGGCCACACCCCAGGGAGGGACAAAAGCCTCTCCGCCAGACGCGAACAAAGAAGAGCCGCCGCCGCCTTCTCCCTCAGCAGCAGCAGCCGCCCTTCCCCGCGACTCGTATCGGCCACCATTTCAGCTCCCAAATGGTTTTTTTCCCCTTTGCAAGCTGATTAAAACGCCCAATTCTGAATTCGGTATTGATTCGGTATCGATGTATCTATAGCGCTCTTAAATGATCCTTTGCACGCGGTCGCTCGACAATAGGCACGGGAATAAAGACCAGTAAAGCAACTGAAAATAACAAATGTAAAAATATTCAACGCTGTTCAGAAAAAAAGGAGCGGGTTCTTTTAAAAAAAAAAAAAAACCGAGTCTGCTTCGCGCTGCGCCCTGAACGCGCCCCAGAAAAGTCGCTGAGGGGAAACTCTTCCAGAGAAGCGGGTGGGTGGGTGGGTGGGTGGTCTGGTTTTGCCAGGCGTTCCGCGCCCGGCTTTCCCTGCGAAGGGCGCTGGGCCGAGGGCGGACGGAACCCACCCACCCCCGCCCCTCCGGTTCCCCGGGAAGGAGCGCGCCGCCGCCGCCTCCCATCAGGGATACCCTGCGCTCCAAGGAAGGCGGCGTTCCCTGTCCGGAAAGGCTCCGCGGCCGGCCTCGAGCGGCGCAAAGCGGGAGGGGGCCGGCAGACGAGCCGAAGCCCTTCGCGGCTGGGATGGCTCCGGCCTCCCGCCTGGCTAGCGAGCCTCCTCGCCTCCGCGAGGGCTGCAGCGGAGTCCCGAGGCAGCCCGGGCGAGGCTCGCTCCTCGCGGCGCTGGCGCTCGGTACCTTGTCCGGCGGGGGGAACTGGAGCTGGCCGACATCCAGCGGCGTAATCAGCGGGATGGTGTCGAAGCCGTCCTCCGCCGGGGCCGGCTTGCCGCGCTTCTCGCCGAAAGGGCCGCCGCCCAGCTTCACCATCCTTCCCTCGCGAAGAAGAGGAGCCTGCAAAAAGGCCGCGGTCAGGCGGGGCTCGGCCCCGCCCCAGCTCCGGGCCCCGCCCCGCCCCGCGGGAGACCTTACCTGCTCGGCCCCCCGCTTCGTCCTCCGCTGCCGCAGCCGCAGCCGCGCCGGCCCTTCGCGAGCTCCTCCGCCGCTCTGCCTCCCAGCCCGGCGCCTCCCCTTCCGCAGCTCCCGGAGTGACGCAGAGCCGCGCATGGCCGCCGACTACCCCGCCCAGTCGGCCTCGGCCGGGGCTGCGGCATGGCGCGGGGCGGGCGGAGAGCGGCCGGAGGCTCCTATGGGGCAACCGCTGACCTGCCTCAGGCGCCGCACTTGCTGGCGCTCGGCAGCCGGTCCCTGCTCGGTGCCTCCACCCGGCTCTCCGGCTGCTCCTGGCCATTGGGCGGCCGCCCTGTGGAAGAGAGACGCCCGGCAATAGCCGTCGCGGCGCCCCGGCTGCCCGACTCCCCCCCATCCCGCGAGCGCTGCCCAGCCGCGTCCTTCCAACAGTCCCGGCCTGTTCTCGGTCCCCTTCAGCAGCCTCCCCTCATCCTAGGGGCAGAGGGGCTGAGAGCGACTGGCCCACATCCGAAATCGGGCTCGCCTGACCCCCCCCCCCCCACTGGGACGGGCCTTATTCCCTCAGTCCCTCCCTGCGAGGGTGGCCTTCTGCCCAAAGGGCCCAAGTTTCCTTGAAATATTCACTCTTGGGGATCAGAGGAACCGAAGGGAAGGAAACGGACCCAACTTCCACATGTTTTTTAAATAAGTCAAGGCATTAGGATTGTTGGCTATTAATAGCAACCCTCAGAAAATATCAGCAGCCCTATTATTTCAGTATTTGCTGATTGTTGTCTTTTAAATCCTTGCTCACTCATTATGGAAATGGGGTTATGCAGGTAAATTCAGACACGACTGAGGCAGCCTTCAGCTGAATAATAAATTTGAAAAAGAAATACAAGCCTCTAGGCAACAATTCAGTCAAGTACAACTTTGATACAGTTTTATTTACTTATAAATAGGCATAACAGCTCTTCAGGAGGCCCAAGCCTCACTGGCCCAGCTCACTCTCATTCTGCAAAGTCTTCATGGTTAGGCCCCAGAGCGTCATGCTGGAGAAGGGCCCCCCATTATTTCAGGGCTCGGCAGGAGCCACCTGGCTGCTCGGGGGCTCCCCGTTCCAGCCCCTGCCCAGAGGGGCACTTGTGGAAGAGGGAACTGAGGGCGGAGTGCCAGACTGCAGCGGATGACTTTCTTGAAAAGAACAAGACCGAGTCAGTCCTTCTGGAAATTTACACAGTTTGGCAGGATCCAAACTCAATTTCTGAGCGTCTTTTCTCACCGCAGGCCTTGCCCTGACAAATGGTGCTCCAGGGGGTCCCAACTCAATTGGCGAATGCCCCCTCGAGTGGGGCGGGCATTTCTCTGATGCCGACAGGAAGGAGACCGAGATTTCCTGGGTAAAGAAATCTGAACATTGGGACTTCTCGAGGTCAGGAATTTCCATGGTGTGAGAAAACTCATCTACAATAGCTTTACAGTGGGTTTTTTTGTGTCGACGTAAGATGGCAGAACGGCTGAAGCATTTATTGCAGGTCTCACAGGGATACGGCTTTTCCCCAGTATGCGTTCTGACATGTCTTCGCAAATCTCCAGATCCCGCAAAACATTTTCCTGTAAAATAAGATATTTATTGTCCCTTCAGCAAAGATCAGTGTTTTCATTCTAAAATTAATTCTAGGTTTTAATTAACATGTTTTGTTGTTATGTGCACCTATGCACCAAAAGCAGACTTGTTCTCTATTAACCCAATGGGCCGATCAGATTGGGAGTAGGTTAAAAAACTGCTTTGGATCAGGAGGGGCTGCCTGACCGTGGAGGCTGTGAGCCAGCAGGAGCTGCTGTTGGACAAAGTAGGACATACATTTGTATATTAAACAGTCCCATTCAAGTCCAAAATTGATTTCCCCCACAACTGAAAAACCAGTAGGCCAAGGGATGGGGAACCTTTTATGGCTCACTCAGGAATTCTGGGAGTTGAAGTCCATAAGTGATAAAAGAGCCAAGTTTCCCCACCCCTGCACTAGTCCAACCTAAGAGACAAAGACACAAGGGCAAAGTGAAACCTGCAAAACTGCTAGATAAAAGTGTTACATTGGAAACATTTCAAAGGATTTTTGAAAAAAATGGGAAAGAAGCTTGAAGACACAATGTCAGCAACAACATCTGCTACTGAAAACGTGCTAATTAACAGATTTTAAAGAACTGAAAGATGCAAAGGAAAAGAATTTGGAAGAATTTATAGGCTGACAGAATAAAGAAGTAAAACAAGCTCCAGCATATGCAGAAATACTGGAAAATAAAACTGTGGGCTATAAGACAGATGTGAAAAACAAACTGGAAATCCCGACAATAAGAATGACTCATTTGGATTTATAGAAGAGGGCTAGAAAGCCACAAAGAAACGGGAGAAAGAAAATTTGTGCGGAAATTAAATCCCACAAAAGCATCTTATCAGGGTAAGAACTAGAGCAAAAGAAAGAAAAATAAAGTTGATCTGTTGAATCGGGGTAAAACCAGAAATACTTTTACCACCAAGTCCTGTCAATTCTTTATAGACTGTTTGCTGATACCAGACAGAAACATTAATGAATTTTAGATTTGTGGATGGGTAAGGTGCTTTTTTCAAGAGGCAACTGGACTTTCTGGTTTTTCCTTTGAAGGCGTTTCGCTTTTCATCCAAGAAGCTTCTTCAACTCGGTAAGGGTTGAGATGGAAGAAGGGATTCAGGAAAGGGAATATCCAAGAGGGTTGAAAAATACACAGCTTGCTTGTACTTATAAAAGAAGATAGGATGTTACTTCTGGAGATATTTTCTTTTTTCCCTACTTTTCCTTTCCCTTTCAGTTTTTCTATTTTTGCTTTTACTTTTACTATTATTAAAATCCTTAATACTATTTTTTAAAAAGAGAAATGTTGTAATTTGATTGAATCTGAATGCCTATGGTTTCCAATTGAGACAGGACACATAATTCTTGAAGTCTATATTAGGGCTATAATGTATTGCCTGTTAATTCTTCATTTGATAATGAGGGGAAATAATTTGCCATTATTAATTTGTTGGAGTGATCAATATGATATCTGCTGAATCTTCATTATTTTCATATGTGTTCTAATGGTACAACTGAACAATGAAAAGGTTAACATTTTTAGTGGAACTTTCCAAACCAGTTCAGTAAAAAAAAAAAACCTGCTGACTTACCACAAACTGAACAATTATATGGCTTTTCTCCTGTGTGTCTGATCCTGTGTTTTACTAATTTCCGTGGTAAGTTAAATGATTTTCCACACTCGTCACATGTGAATACTTTTTCTACTGCGTGGTTCTTCTTGTGTTCCTTTAAATTACTGAAGTTACTAAATCCTAAATGTAAGAGAATCTGAATCTGAATCAGAGTGATCACACAGAATGAAATAAATTACAAAAGGGCCACGCTGCCTTTAAAAATTGGTGCCCCGTGCTACCCCAGATACCAGAGCCAAGGCCAAAGACAGGACCTGAGCATGCGAGGATGAAAACTCCCCCCATTAACTCCTGACCTACAAGGGGAGGAGTCAGAGTGCACCTGTGCCTAACTGGTGGCCTTGAGCTGCTGCTCTTTCTGGCCACAGCCACCTGGCTGCCACCTAGCCGGACAGTGCCGGCACCCAAACAAGGCCTAGAAGGGAAGGGGCACATGCCGGGATTACAGCTTGTCTTGCTCGTACAGGTAAGTGTTAACCAGACTCACCTCGGCCACAAATATCACACAGATGCGGTTTTTCTCCAGAGTGAATAATAATGTGCCGCTGGACGTCTCCAGAGGCAGCAAACCTGTAATGCCATCGTAAAAGCCACTGTGAATGTTCCAATTAAGCACCCTCTGTACTCTCCTGCCTTGACTGCATCATGTTCCTGGCAGGCAAGCCTCCCCCCGGAGGAAGCAGCCCACCTCCCCATCCCTCCCGGACACAGTCTGCCTGGCCCAGGCATCACCAGCTCCAACCGCAAAAAGGCCACTGAAGGCTGCCATGCTGTGCCACCCCACCCTCTTCTGAATCCGGCTGCAGAGTTACATGCACGAATCAGACCTGTGTGCTGTGCTACTAAGAAATTATAACGAAGCATTTTGAAAAGCAAGATGACTCAAAAGCAAAAAGCAACCTAATGCTTTATGTTGAAAAAGTGTCCTTTTTGGAGCAACTTAGACATGTGTTTCACATCCAAATAAAACATTTTATCAACATTTATATCAAATATATATTTACATCTCTAGTTTTCTATTCAGCATGAAAGTTAAGCTAACTGAAAAATAATTTATATTCATAATTGATTAAAAACAAATCAACAAAACAGGTATGACTCTTCAATCAACAGACAGCTTTAGAAGCAAAAGTGCTTTGCTCCGGGATAAGCCTTATTTTAGGAGAGAAGCATATCAAAAGCTGAAGGGGGAGAGGTGACTTGCAAGTCAGGCCTCCCCTTGCCATTTCCCACTTTGGGCAGCAAACTTCATTTGCTGTTGTGCTTTTACTTTGGTGCTGACACACACCTACCCATGACTAACGAAAAGTTACGTAGGCAGACTAGCCACCATTCAGGGATGGAAGTATTTGCATGCTGGCCAGCATGAGATACAAAATAGATTTTCCCCAGCATGAGATACAACATAGATACACATCTCCAGTTCTCTAATATACTATTTGCCGGCACTTCTCCTCTTCCTTTGCCTTGTTTTTTGGTTTCTTTAAACCATAGTTTGTTATAACTAGATACTTACTATGTGTAAGCCTTCTAAAATAAAAACATTGGATCCTACTTTGCATTGTCAATCTAGTTGGAAGAAATTTAAGAGACCCGGAACCTTTTCATTTAGGTATATTAGCCAACAGATCTTCTGGGACGTGTTGTCTTGAAGGATGGTGAATAGTAATATATACATATATGACTAATAGATATAAATGCATGATATAATATGTATGAATTTCACAGCCATACAAACCTCTTCCCACAGATTTCACAAATGAATGGTTTTTCACCAGAATGGCGACGCAAGTGAGTCTGAAGATTGCCTGCCTACAAAGATAAGGAAATGTTTTTTAACAAAAGGATGTTAACTACAGAAGTTTACAGTTGGAAACGAAGATCTTCCAAGTAGTTCCTTGTGCCAATAATGATACTCAAAAAGTAAGAGCAATCTCCCCATGTACCATTGTCATATCTGAAAACAGGGAGGGGGATTCTTTAGGCACAAAGCAGAGAATTCAACCCTTTATCAGACCTGGACTACAACACTCCCCACCAGCAGATGGGCTGAACACAAAGTCCCTACTTGCAAGGCAGGCACTTCCAAATGGAGGCAAGGTCCTTCTCCTAAGGAACAAAGAGGTTTCCTACCCCCCCTTGCTTATGGCAACTCGAAAACAGGCATAGGAATGCTTTACGAGTTGACAATTAAATCATACTGCTTACATTCTATTGCCTGATCAATAGAAAGGGAGTAGGTAGAATATAAACAAAAGTCAACTTAAATACAAAAGAATATTATACAAGATATCAAAATTCCTACCTGTGAGAAACATTTTCCACAAATGTTACATTCAAAAGGCTTTTCACCTAAAAGAAGAAGCAATTATATTTCCACTTCTGACAACTAACTTTGAATAAAAAGACAAAGTGAACAGTTGCCTTCAAGTCAACATAAAAATAACCAAGATGGCATTTATATTCAACATATTTTTTATTCACAATTTCCCTTAATGGACACATTAATACTATCTTGTATTAATAAGACTTAATGAAAAATTATCTTAATTGTACCTAACTCTACGATGTTTACCCAGGAGCAGGTCGCACATAGTTTAACAGCTTGATCATAAGTGAATACAAAATTGCTATTTTGAATAGCAATTAAATCCCATTAAAAGCTGGGATTTGCAGCCTATTGACGGATGTCCCAAATAAAATTCTGGTCACTGTAGTAAACAGATTCTATAAGCACCGTAACATCTCTATGATACAGTAAGATCATAATGGCAACGGAGAAAAATAATATACTTTTTTACAAGCCATTTTCTTTCCAAATGGCTGTAAATGGCAGCGCATGAAATATGTATCAACTACTATGGCAAAGTGGAGTAACATTTTCATGCAAAAAGTTCTATCAAGGAAACCAGGCAATAATTGCTTTGTACGTGTTATGACTGGCCCTTATCAGAAAAATGATGTGCATACCTTTCCTGGAAAAAAACCCCGAATGTTTACGCACATTCACATGGATGAAGGTTATTCGATGAGGGTCATGAAATCTGATTATAGCTTGATGGACTTGCGAGATCATTGCGGCACCAGAGCCTCTCTGGGCCACGGAGGCCTTTCCAGATGCTAAGACTACATTCTGGCTGGTTCTCCATGTGGTCATTCAATAGCTGGCCTGCCATGTTAACTGACTGTACCTGTATGAGACCTTATGTGGAGCTCCAAGTTGCTCGGGTGTTTAAAAACCTTTCCACATAAGGCGCAAGGATACTGCCTCTCTGGAAGGAGATCCTTTAACGGGCTCTCTGGCCCAGGAGGTTCCCGGGACGGCTCCAATTCTACACACTCGGAACTCGTTAGCCCGCTGGGATGCTTCCCTTCAGGAACCTCAACTGTGGTCGTCCTTTTTGTGCTGCTCTGGCTTCCTAATTCATTTCCTTTTGCAACGGCTCCCTTAGGATCACGTACAGAAGACTGTTCAGAAGACTTTTGGGACCGTAGCAAATTCAGTTTTTGAAGGTGGATGGCTTTCTTAGGCCTCAACGGTTTGGCTGGCTGTACAGAAGTGGTCTCTGTGTCTTGATCCACAGGAAAGTCATTGAAGGAGTGAGCGAGAAAGGGTGGTGGCAGTGGGGGACAATCGGACGACTCCAAAGGACATTGGCTGACGTTGCACAAAGCAGCACCCTGAGCTGTGTCTTGCGCTGGAGGTATTATAAAACCTGGGGCCATTTCTAGTGACCCCTGGTTGCTGGGACAAATAGTCTGTTTCCTATAAAAGTTTCGGAGCTTATAATGGCCGTTTGGTAATTTAAAGGAGAGATCCGCCCTGCCAGGGTCCACAGAGTCTTGTTTTGGTTTGGCTCTCTCAGCTGAGGAGCTGTGAGATGCACAAGGCTGTGACTCAGGTTGTCGGTCATCCAAGGCTTTGCAAGCAGCAGCAGTTGAGCAAACATGGAGTACATCATAGTGTCCACAGTGGGTATCAGCAACCAAAGTATTTCGCAATGAAAATGTATCATTGCCAGTCAGACTGGCTGGCTGCTCTACAGATCGGGAGGTTTTTAAAAAGGAGCGGCACAGATTCAAAATATTCTGCACCTGCAAGCACTGTGCAATATCCAGCAAGTTCTGTATATTATCCTGGTTGAGGTCAAGATGTGAAGTATACATATAATCCAAGATCTGGCCTATGCCACCCACGTTCTTAATGTCCAAATGAAAAACATCGTTCTTCTGGCTTGGCGAATTTTGAAACAGGGTCCTAGGAAAGAAAAGCAGAATTACAAACAAAGGGCACATCTGCTTATCCTCAAATCCCCTTTGTAACATTACATTGCATCCCGTTACATCGGCCCATCCCACTCACGGTCGGGTGGGGAAGGTATGTTGGAAACCATGTTAATTAAAGAGCTCCAACTGGCAGAGTCCAGGAAGAGCGCCTCCTCTGCCCTTTCTCCCCACCCTGTGGAATATTCTCCCCCAAGAGTGAGGCAGGCCCCCACCCTCCTGGCCTTCTAAAAAGGACCAAGGCGTGTCTCTTTGGTGCCTTGCAGGGGGAGCCCAGAGGAAGCTGCAGCCCAGCGACAGGTTAGTGCCTGAAAACCTGCCTTTGCCTTTTAACACATCTTCATAGTATTTAGTCATCACCTCCTTCCTTCTAAACTATGTTTTTCTATTTTTAAAACTTTTATATATACTTTTTAATATTTTTAACATTTTATTCTATACTGCTCAGAGTCCCTTTCTGAGGAGACTGGCAATTCAAAAATATGAAAAATAAGTAAACATAAAAGTGCACATATTCATCAATATTTTGAAAGTCTTGCTTACAACATTTGGTTAGATAATGATTGCACAATACTGTTGAAAGCAGCAATTTTAAATAGCAAACATATATAATAGAATTTGCAATTTCAGCCTACAACACAATTTCAGTCTATTATATTAACCGGTAAGAAAACATTTAAAGGTCGTCTTTTAATCCTCCTGTATAATTTCCATTCTCAGAGAGCACACCTTCAACAAAAGATGGCAGGGGGTATCCTCAACTGAATTTGTAGTATTGCTTGTGGTAGCAACAGATAGCTATGTTGTAGCAACACTGGTTGGAAATCACAGGATCTGAATTTAACCTAAGTATATATAACTTATCCTGTGAACAGGACTTTGTGGCCTGATATTTTGCATTTTAATTCTGCGTTTGTATATGACCACACATTAATTAATAATATATTTCCTCTTAGAGAACTTGTAGAACTAGACCCAGACATGCTTTTTTCAAGAGGCAAGTGGACTTTCTTGCTTTTCTTTGAAGATGTTTCACTTCTCACTTCTTCACTTCTTCATGCTGTGACTGGACGGTGGGGAGTGGAAGGATTTTATACTCCTTGCAGAGAGCTAATCATTTGCATTCTTTGAGAGTCACTTGAGGCCACTTGGAGGTTTATCTGTATCTGCAACACAATCCTTTCAACAGTTAAAAAGTCTGGGAGCTGTCTGTCGATTGGTGGTAATCACTTATTTCTATTCATGCAGAGGACGCCTATCAATCCTATAACTTCCCAGGTAACCATGCACTGCTCATGGCATTTTTATTCAATATAATTTTATCTTTTAAGAACCCATTTATAGATAATCAAAACTTTTATTTATTTTTTGTACCATATTAACTTGTAGTGTTAGTTTTTAGGAGCAACATTACACCATGCTTTCCTTATTTCATTTCACTTTCTGCGCACTGTCCTGGCTATTGGGGAAGACTATAAGGATTGTAAATATATAACTCGTTAACTTAATGACACTTCTGCCTCCCATGCCTTACTTAATATTCATTAAAGTAGTTTGTACTAACATACCTAAAATATTGGCTAAAAGCAGCCAACACATTTTTATGTGCTTTGAAGGAAACTCCTTTGACCACCAACATACAATCACAGAGAAGTCCCTGTATCCGCTGGTTATGGAGCTGCTGAAGGAGGTGACAACTGTGATTAGCAAAAGCATCCATGCTAGAACGTGTCTACGTTACCTAAAAAAAGGGGGTGAAAACATTGTAGGGATGCAGTTATTTACTGGTAAGCATGTGCTAAATTGTATTGTCATATACATCAGAGCTATTCTGTGCAAAAAGATTACCTGTTATACTGTTTTAAAATACAAACCAAACCATAGACAGAGCGCCAAGTTTGCCAGAAGAACCCCGTTTCACTTTTTGACCCAGGAGCTTTCTTAACAAACTGAAGACATACAGTCTTTAGACACAATATAGCTCCACCTTCCTAACGTCTCTCAAAAGCATCACATAATTAGAATACTATTTTATCGTAGTTCTCAGGTTATGGTTCCGTGACCAACATTTTGACTGTGTCCAGCTTGCAATTATGAGGGTGGGGCAAACTGTAGTCACATAAGTGCGATTTCCCACGTTTCCTGCCAGCATCTTCATAAGCAATATCAATGGGGAAGCCATTAGGAAGCCGGAAATTACTCCTTTTGCTCCCTGCCTGCCCCTCTTGTCTTCCTGTGTAATGATCCGTGTAGCCCTGGGGTTACAACAATAACCCAGACTGCCGGGATTCCCAATGCTAAGCAATGCAGTCAACATGATATTGTGCTTTATGACCGCATCACATAGCAACAGAAAATCTGGGTACCAATTGCCAAAGTAACCCCAAGGCCTGTGCCTATTTTATTTATTTACAGATGGTGACGTAAGTGAAACAGCCTGCAAACATGCAAGTTAGCAGCAACAGAAGTGGAATGAACCCAGGCCACGAGCAGCAGCCTAGGCAGGTGGTGAACTGTAGGGGAGAAAGCCGTTCTCTTTGACGGCACTTTGACAGGGGATGCCAGGGCCTCGCTAAAGCCCAGTCCAACTCCCTGACTAGGGCACTGGTGAATCTTATGTTGATCTAGAGCCGGGATGAAATACATCCAAGGGGCTTATGCCCAAGCAGCCAAAGGGGAGGCTGCAGCCACTCTGCCAGCTGACAGACCCCCCAAGGAAGAAAAGGATGGCCCTCCCTCCAGGAAACCCTTGGGAAGAAGAAACTGGACAAGAAAGGATGAGATCCCAGCCCTGGGAGAAGCCAAGAGGGGCCTCCCACAGACCAGCCTGTGACGGGGCTGCCTTGCAGAGGCCCAGATGCTCATAGAGCCAGAACCCGGGGGGGGGGGGGGGGGGGGGGAATGAAATAACACGACCGCAGACACACCTTCCAAGAATGGGTTGAATGAACTTCAGGTAGTCCTCGACTTGCAACAGTTCATTTAGTGACCGTTCAGTTGCCAACATCATTGAAACAAAGTGGTTTGTGACCGTTTTTCACACTTTCGACCATTGCAGCATCTCCAGGGTCACGTGATCAAAGTTCAGAGGCTTGGCCACTGGATCGTACTTATGACGGTCGCAGCCTCGGGGCTGGGGTGTGCGTGTGTGTCACGCGATCCCCTTCTGCGACTTCTGACAAGCAAAGTCAAGGGGGGAGGAAGCCAGATTCACTTAACCACCTTGTCACTAACTTAACATCTGCTATGATTCGCTGAACAACTGTGGCAAGCAAGGTCGTAAAATGGAACAAAGCTCTGTTAACAGCAATCCTGCTCGGCGACAGGAATGTGGGGCTGAGTCGTGGCCGAGGACTGCCTGTGTCTAACGGGCGAGATAAAGCGACAGATGGAAGAACGAAGAGCAGCAGCCCCTAACTGCGCATCTCGCTGCAAGGAAGATGCAACCGCAGTTCTAGGCGACCCAGAAACTAACGGCGGAGAGGATCCCCACAATCACGCAGGGACGCGTGTCAGCCGACCCGGAAGAAGCGGCTGATGAATCTAGGGAACTGGCCTTGTCGAGCACCGAGGAAGGGGGGTGGGGCCGGGAAGAGTAGAACAGCCACGCGCCGACGCCATGCGGACGCTACCAAACGGACGCCCCCGCCCCGCCCCGCCCCCCCCCCCCCCGACCGCGGCAAGATGTCGGCCAACACTGGCCGGAAGTCGGGCAGCGTGACCATAGAGCGGGACGTCCGATGCTCTTTGCGAGCGCCGCCGGAACGAGCCTCTTTGCCTGTGCACGGCGGACGGCCCGAGCGTTCCCCCTCCGCTCGGGTGGCTTCCGTCCGGAACTCAAGACGGTCTGAGTGGCTGTGCGAGACTCGGCTCTGCCTACCCGGCGAGCGGTTCGTGCTCCGCCTGGTGAGTTTTTCCCCCCGGCAGCCTCTTCCCGGCTGGGGCCCAGTTCTGGGGGGGCGGGGGGTGGACGAGGCCTCCCGGGTCCTACTGTGGCCGGGCTTGCGTGTGCGTGCGTGGGGCTGGGGAGGGGGGTAAGCGGGGGCATAAGCGTCGGAGGCCGGCACGGGGCGCCCCCGGCTGGGCCCCTTCCTGCTGCTCTGAGGGCAGCCTAGCCCCCCCCCCCCCCACACACACACTTTGTGGTTGCCAAGAATGAAAGCCTCGCCGCTGGCGGCCCCTGTGGCGGCGGCCTTGGCGTTGTTCCCTGTGGGCTGCTCCCGAGTTCGAGCAATTTTCTTACCATGCTGTGCTTGGGTAGTTTTCTCTGAAGTAGAATTTCTGGTCCTGCACATTGCATGCAACATCAGCTTGTTAATTCTGCCCTCGACGTGTTGTTTCTAGGGTTTGCTGGAAGAGCCGTGAATGAGACTCGGAAGAAACGGATTCCCAGAATGGTGTTTTTCACGTGCAACGCCTGCGGAGAAGCCCTGAAGAAAGGACAGGTGGAGAAGCATGTGCGCGTGTGCCACAACTGCCAGTGCCTGTCTTGCATGGATTGCGGGAAGGATTTCTGGTAGGTTGACTCGGGCCACTGCCTCCATCCTTCGGCACAGGGAGCCTTCTGGGGAAGCTTTACCATGGGCTTTGGCAGTCGCAGCATCAGGCCGGCCTTGTCCCACGAAAGTGAAACGCAGGCTGGCTTGCTACCAGCAAGGACCTGGCAAGTGGGCTGCCTGAGAATGTGTTGAGGTAATTCCCTGTTAGGAGAATGAGCGCATACAGGGAGACGTAGTGAGAGTAATGTTGAATAACACACACACAGCACATGGATATGCTGTACAGTAAATGTAGGTTTTTACTTCCAATAAACGTTTAAGCAAAGTCCAAGATAAGCAGTTCAAGTCATTCACAGGTAAGGCAGTCAGTGTTCAGTTCAGGGATAATCCAAATATCAAAGTCCAGCATCAAAAAACAGTTCAGTAACAGACTTACATCAACTATCAGTAACAGTCATTAGGAGGAACAGCAACTCTCTCCAACAGAAGGAATAGAGAGACTCACAGAGACTAAACAACCCAGGTTTCTGGCTCCATCTTATGGCCGTTTGAGGAACCACACCCAATTACAATTTTAGCATTCCTTTAAAGATACAGTATTAAAATGTCTATCCTGGTTTATATATTTTCAACCCAAATAACTAACAAGATGTCTGTGAGCTGGACTGGGATGTCCCCCCCCCCCCAAAAGCCCCGTGTTATTACCAAGAGTTGTCCGACATCCAGGCTGACCTGAAGGACTCAGCAGAAGCATTGGAACTATGGCTTATCACTCTCAAGCCACATGCTTGGCTTTACAGCCAAATCAGAAACAGCTAAAATAAAATAAAATAAACATCCTATGTATCTCAGGATATAGGGGAAGAAATCTCTAGGGACTTCTGGGAAAGTAACAAAAAGGTTAATAGTGTAGGCAAGCTATGGAATGTGAACAGAGATATGAAGTTAATGTAATGTAGTAGTTGAGAAAAGGTAAATGTGGGAAGGGGAAGGGGAGAAATTTAAAACTTCCTAAGGTCAGCTTCACTAGATGATTGATTACTTGAACACAGTCTTGAGTTTCAGTATACGTTCAGAGTTTATTTCTTCAAGTATTGCACTTGTACTGCTGGATTTCAGCAAAAATGACTGGGAGGGTTTAATCACTGGAAGAAACAGCAAATTTATCAGCAACTAGCTCTCTATCCATGCTTCGCTACAAAGCTATGTGATCGGGCTTAGTTTTGGGGGAGGAAAATGGGGGAGGGATTCTGCCTCTGCCTACCAGTATCCATCAGTATTCATCTGGCAAGTGTCCTTGTCAGTGTGTGAGAGAGTTGAGGGCTGTTTGGAAACTGAAACAGTATTGGCTGTGTGAACAAGGAGACAGTAAGGAGCCTGGGTGTCAGAGATTCAGCAGGTTCTGACTAGTTCTGGAGAACTGGTAGCGGAAATTTTGAGTAGTTTGGAAAACCGGCAAATACCACTTCTGACTGGAGATTTTACAGTATCTTCCCCCTGCCACGTCCACCAAGCCACACCCACAGTACTGGTAGTAAAAAAAATTGAATCCCACCACTGCTGGGCATGGCTTAGCTCAACTGTTCTGTACCGGTTGCTGCTCTGAAACTGAAACTCCTCTGCTTGTGTTTTGCATTTGGAAGAAATTTCTTTTCAGGTGGGGAGGGGGAGTAGAACTCTTAGCATCAGAGCGTGTTAATAATAATAATATAGAAAATACTAATGCTCTGATGGTCATATCGAAAAACCTTTCTTAGCGAGCACCCAGAAGCCAAGAGGAACAAGAGGAATGTCAAGTTTGTAGGCTTTACTGTTCTGGAGATTTTGTGAAGATGCGTGAGTGGCCTTTCGCTTTTATATAGAGATCAGTGGTTCCCAAAGTGGGCGGTACCGCTCCCGGGGGGGGGGGGGGGGGGATGCCTGAGGGGGCGCTAAGAGGCGGCAGGGGGGCCGGCAGGGTCACCCCATTGACTGTTGCACCACTTCAGAGCCGGTGCTTCGAATGTGGCAGCTCCGATGCACCACATTGTAATGGGCTCCAGGAGGAGGAGGAGGGGATGGAGTAAAGTGCACTAAATTTGAGTGTGCTGCACAGGTGCTGCAAGAGCAGCGAACAGCCATGGAGCCCGGCTGTGATGGGGCCTGGAGGGTGCGCATGAGAGGAGAAGGAGGAAGGAAGCCTCCGCCATGGCTTGCGCTCATTTTTCGGCCAACCTGGAGTTCCAAAAACTCATCAAGAAGAAAGAAAAGCTTCTCACTCTCTCGGAAAGTCCTGCATGCTCTTCTACTCGGGGCTCTCCGCTATCGTTTTTTTTCCTTCCTTTTGGAAATCCGGGCTAGCTGAGGAACAAGCGGAAGCCCCGGTGGAGGCTTCCCCCCTCCCCCTCCTCTCATTCTTCAGCCAGCCCAGATTTCCAAAAGGAAGAAAGAAAAGGGGACAGTGAAGAGCCCCAAGGAGAGCACGCAGGGCTTTCCGAGAGAGTGAGAAGAGACACAGACAGGGAGCGAGAGAGAGTGAGATACACACACACAGAGAGAGAGAAAGAGATACAAAGGGAGGGAGAGAGAATCGGCTCAATTCAGCTCTCTCTGTCTTTGCCCAGTTTTGCAAGGATTCAGCAGCAATCTAAGGCAGCAATCTCTTAGCACTGTGAGGTAACAGCCTGACTGTCACTCCTTTTGGAATGCAAGGTTTATTTTTGTATCTTTCCAGAGACAGAAAGAACGTGGCCAAATTTCCTTACAGTTATTCCCTGGGTGTGGGAGTTGGGAAGGGGGTTGGGGAGCGGGGGAGAAGGAGGGAGGAAGAGGCATAGAGAGAGAAAGAGAGAGTTAGAGGAGAGAGAGAGAAGGAGAGGGAGAGAGAAAGAAAGAGAGATGAGAAGGAGGAAAGGAGGGAGATAGAGGGAGAAAGATAGAGATGGGAGAGGGAGGGAGGAGAGAGAGAGAGAGAGAGCAACCTGTTCCCCATAGAAAACACAGAAAACCACAAAACCTGAGGGGTCATGTGACTCAGTGGGAGGGACATTGAGTTGCCACACCCACCCATGTCTTGGGGCTCCTGGTGTTTTGTTTTCTGTGGGAAACAGGTCCAAATGGCTCTGAGTGTTTAAGGTTGCAGACCCCTGACCTAACGGGAGGCAGAGGAAGGGGGACTTTGACCACATGCCCAATATCCAGGATCCTGCTCAGCCAAGCCCGCCCCTCTTTGTAGTTGCCATGCCTGACATCAAGTTCACAGGGTGCCCCTCCTGTCAGGGATCAGCCTCCCAAGCTGCCCCCCCTCTCGGCGGTGCTGTTCCCTCCTTCCTGGAGCAGGGCAAGGTTGAGGAAGCCCAGGGCAGGCAGCTTTGCTCTACTTTCGCAATGTGCCGCCGCTGCGTTCGACGTGCCGACTCCGAAGACTCACCCCATTGAGCCCCTTGCACCTCTCCTGTGCAACAGTCAATGGGGTGAGCCTGCAGTGCCGGCGCCTCATATGCCCCCCTGTCGCCTCTTAGCTC